TTTCACACAAAAATCAGAAGAGTCGGTGGCGAGGGGACGAAGAGTAAAAAAGAAATCAAATTTAGGGTAAGGGGTGCAAGATTATCACAATAGGAATGGTTGTGCACAATAGACACAAGAGGCCTTAGCCAACTGCTAACGGTCTCAGCTTTGGAGGTCGCTGATAAACCACAAAACAAGGGAATATGATTTTAAAAAACACTTGATGCATTACATGCATAAGGATGCAAGAAATAACTTGTGCCTTTTGGAGGACTGTAAAACTGTGAATAGTCCTCAATCAAAAAGACCAAGCAAAACAGTTTTGAAGGAATTAACTCGAAGTACAAGAACGATATCAAGGCAATGAATTTTCTGTTAATCTGTCCAATCATCAACCAACATGAATTACTAATATGAGAGATAGTATGGTCAATCATAGGAAAATACAATAAAATGAACAAGATATGCATTGATAGACTTATGTACATGTAGATGCATGACCATATCCATTATGCGCCATAAATGATAAGTCGGGAATGAAATTAAATTTTGTTGCCCGTAGTAACGTCGATCCAGCTCCTGAGACGAGCCGACTTCTCTACTGCTTGCTGGACACTTTGGATATATGCCCAGTCCTCGGGGCTGGCCAGTCCTGAAAATAGGTTGGGCGAAGGACGTGATATAGATGAGTTTGGACGGAGCAAACCATCTAATCCACCGGTGCCCGGGCCGACTGGCTTCTGTCGATCGCTGGCTGTGAAGTTAGTAGAAGAAGCAGTAAAGTTGTCAAAACCGATGGATTCAACACCCTCAAAAGATTTGGTCGCCGGGCCGTTGCCACTATTGTTGTCGGAAGTGATGGTGCTGAGGGAGTTGGCGGTCGTTGGCATGGAGCCACCGTAGTTTTTGGCGATGGCTGTGGATGTGGCAGAAGCCGATGTAGAGGCGGCCAGGCCTCGGAGCCAGGCAATCCAGGCGGTCTGCATGGTGGGCGGCAGAAATACAGTAGCTAATGCTAGGAGGCCAGAGCTAGATCCAGTGCCGACAGAAGCACGAAATGGTGCAGAGCTTGGTGTGGAGGCTGATGATGCATTGCCTGTCGGTAGGAGGATTGGAAACGAAAGTGGCTATAACGAAGAAAGGCAAGGGAGAATGGAGATGAAAGAGCTGTAAGATGAGCACAGTGGAGTTGGATAAAACCCGATAAAACGAGAACTATATAAAAATACAAAATATCCAATGTCCGAAATAAAGCTCTTTGCCATAGAATGTGCAAATTCAATGGTCCGATTCTGGAAATCATCATAAATATGATGGAAGAGGCTAGAATAGATAGATTCTACAATATTTGCCTGCCGCACCAAACAAGTTGCGAAAACGAGGTCAAATCAAGAGTATACAGTATTTAAAATAAAATAACAGGAGTGGCATCTCGTCCAAAAGTATGTACTGACGTTTATACAGCCAAAGAGGTTGAGGGAGAAACGTGTCTGTTTTTTTCCAGTGCATCCTGTCAGACGCATATAAATGCGAGTGCAACAAGTTCTGTAGAAGATATGATCATTATGTGTAAGTGCACATCTTCAGATGGAGACCAACATCTAATGTCTCGAAGAGTCTGGCTTCTCAATCGCAATGAGCAGCGTCATCATTGTCACACCAGATCTAACTCTTCCAATATAAGATAAGGCTTTCTTTTCAAATGAGATCCAATGTCTACGAGGGCATACGAGAATTGGCTGACAGAAATATTGCAAGCCGCTAAGGGTTCAAGGTAAAAAGCGGTGCTAAAGATGGTGGACTAAGTTAATGAGACGGAAAATAAGGACAGTGCAATTCAAATGAAAAGCCAATATTCGGAACGACGATATTTGGTCATCAGCATCTAAGAACAATGTATGAGTGAACAATGGAACACACCATGCAGTGAACTTTGCTTTGAAGAGTATTAAATAGGATAACTTCATCATCCTTGCTTGTTTATTGTTCATTCCTAAAATGTTCGCTCAAAATTGTATGATATTTGGATAATGTTAATAATACATTTTCCGTATTGCTTTAAGGAATAAGAATATTCCTGACTTGACTTTACCATTAGGTGCAAGTGATATGAATCCCGAAAAAGCGCTTTCACACAAGGCACATTAAATTATTGAACTTAAGGAGACCTCGTCATGAAAACTATGGGACTTGAACTACATTGA